AGTAAAGAAAACTCAAGACAGGTGATCGTTGTTAGTTACCTGAAATCAAAAGAGCATTGAAAGATCAGAAAAGAGGTTTAACCCTTTTCCAAAATTCTGCAGGTACTTCTAAGGGAAAAGTGTGCCAGAAGGCAGGGATTTCTATTGAGAAGGCCAGCCATCTAATTTATGCCACACAGACCTCCACAAGGAGATGAGGCTTTAGAGTAGGTTTTCTCTAGTCAAAGTTAACTATTATTCAAAGCACCTGAGGGTAGAACAAGAAGCAATGGGTGGAAACTAATCAAGGAGAGAAGCAATTTAGAACTAAGGAGAAATTCCCTGACAGTTAGAACAATTAATAAGTGGAACAACTTGCCTGCAGAATTTTTAAGAAGCTGTCTGAAGTGGTGTAGGGTTTCCTGCCTGGGCAGGGGGTTGGATTAGAAGACTTCCAAGGTCCCTTCCAACTCTGTTATTCTATTCTATTCTAGATGATGGAACTGAACAAATGGATTCAATTCTGACAATCACCTGTTTGTGATCAACAAACCAGGAGGGCACAAGAAAACAAAATAACATTAATAACACAGTGAATGAAAGAAGAGTAAGGTACGCTGGCTTTAACAAAAGAATAATAATCTAGAGCATCACAACCATCAATAAACTACTCAGTGGCAAATATATTTGTTTCATTGGTGTCTTGCCTTTTCAAGCAAACTCTAAAATAGCAGAAAAACCTGCAGTAAAAAAGCAGTAGGAAGCCTCTGAAATCCAAATAAGGATACATAAAAGCAGCAGATGATGAAACTATCTGTAAGCACAAATGAATGTTAGGTACCCTGAAAACCAAAGTCAACAGAAAAACTATCATCCCAAGAAGTTTCCTTCATTTGGGTGCTATTTTGGAAAAGGCCCTAACTGATTTCAGATATTGGTCAAACCAAGAGGTGAGCTTTGGAATTCAATTTAGATAGTGAAATGTTTCCTAAAACTATAAATGTGCGTATCTTGTTCTAACCTTAGCAACTTGTGAAATGATACACTCGGAGAGACATGTGGGCTGATCTTTGAGGCCTGCTTTAAAGTGAGGCTAGCACTTAGCTGAAAACGTCAGACTCTTTGAAAAATATTTATGAAGAATCTGCTGCAGTAATCAGTCTACATTTAATACAGTCACAACCTTATTTTTGATCCTTTAGGAAAATGTATAACTAGTACTACAACTTAGGTTTGGCACATCTGAAATGGCTGCCTGTAGAACATGCTAAATATTTGTTGATCTGATAATATATACAAGTGAAACGTGAAAAATTAGAGTATCATGCAAAAGTTCATTTATTTCAGTAATGCAACTTAAAAGGTGAAACTAATATATGAGATAGACTCATTACATGCAAAGCGAGATAGTTCAAGCCTTGATTTGTCATAATTTTGATGATTATGGCTTACAGCTCATGAAAACCCCAAATTCACAATCTCAGAAAATTAGAATATTGTGAAAAGGTTCAATATTCTAGGCTCAAAGTGTCCCACTCTAATCAGTTAAGTAAGCCATAACGCAAAGGGTTCCTGAGCCTTTAAATGGTCTCTCAGTCTAGTTCAGTAGGAATCACAATCATGGGAAAGACTGCTGACCTGACAGTTGTGCAGAAAACCATCATTGACACCCTCCATAAGGAGGGAAAGCCTCAAAACGTAATTGCAAAAGAAGTTGGATGTTCCCAAAGTGCTGTAACAAAGCACATTAATAGAAAGTTATGTGGAAGGGAAAAGTGTGGAAGAAAAAGGTGCACAAGCAGCAGGGATGACCGCAGCCTGGAGAGGATTGTCAGGAAAAGGCCATTCAAAAGTGTTGGGGACTTTCACAAGGAGTGGACAGAGGCTGGAGTCAGTGCATCAAGAGCCACCACATAAGACGGATCCTGGACATGGGCTTCAAATGTCGTATTCCTCTTGTCAAGCCGCTCCTGAACAACAAACAACGTCAGAAGCATCTTACCTGGGCTAAAGAAAAAAAGAACTGGTCTGTTGCTCAGTGGTCCAAAGTCCTCTTTTCTGATGAGAGCAACTTTTGCATCTCATTTGGAAACCAAGGACCCAGAGTCTGGAGGAAGAATGGAGAGGCACACATTGCAAGATGCTTGAAGTCCAGTGCGAAGTTTCCACAGTCTGTTGATTTGGGGAGCCAGGTCATCTGCTGGTGTTGGTCCACTGTGCTTCATTAAGTCCAGGGTCAACCCAGCCGTCTACCAGGAGATTTTGGAGCACTTCATGCTTCCTTCCACAGACGAGCTTTATAGGGATGCTGACTTCATTTTCCAGCAGGACTTGGCACCTGCCCACACTGCCAAAAGTACCAAAACCTGGTTCAATGACCATGGGATTATTGTGCTTGATTGGCCAGCAAACTCTATGGGGCAATGCCCCATAGAGAATCTATGGGGCATTGCCAAGAGAAAGATGAGAGACATGAGACTGAACAATGCAGAAGAGCTGAAGGCCGCTATTGAAGCATCCTGGTCTTCCATAACACCTCAGCAGTGCCACAGGCTGATAGCATCCATGCCAGGCCGCATTGAGGCAGTAATTGATGCAAAAGGGGCCCAAACCAAGTACTGAGTACATATGCATGCTTATATTTTTCAGAGGTCCGATATTGTTCTATGTACAATCCTTGTTTTGATTTCATGTAATATTCTAATTTTCTGAGATTGTGAATTTGGGGTTTTCATGAGCTGTAAGCCATAATCATCAAAATTATGACAAATCAAGGCTTGAACTATCTCGCTTTGCATGTAATGAGTCTATCTCATATATTAGTTTCACCTTTTAAGTTGCATTACTGAAATAAATGAACTTTTGCACAATATTCTAATTTTTCGAGTTTCACCTGTATATAACAGATGCTTTAAATTATTAGAATCCAAATGCAAGCAAGAGAAATAATCTATTTAATTCGTATGGGCAATATAGAGTCCAGCTGAGCCACACTGAGACATTGGGATACAACTTTTCATGTGGGTGGGAACTTGCCCTCCCAGCCAGAGCCAGTAAAGCTGGACTCATTCCAGTGTTTTTTAACCCACCCATGAATTTTGCATCTTTGGAAGCAGGACAGCTGGCCTTTAATTAGAAAATTGGTATTTGGAATGCTCAGTTCAAATGTTCAACTACCTGAAAGAAAGGATGCTTTAGTTACTGGTGTCATTCAGAAGGCGTAACAAAGCCATGTTGTTCTCTTGCCCCTGGCACTGACATAGACCAAAACACCAGTGGATTAATATAAATTATTTTGTAGCTGTTATTAATAACACATTACATAATTGAAAAAACAGAGCCAGTCAGATCTCACCGATGTAGAAGCCTTTTCAAAGCACCACACCAGTTCAATAAATTCTTTTTAAAAGAATATGTGTGTGATCATTTTTTATAGCATCATCTATTTATTTATTTTGTTCAAATGGAAAATGGGTCAGAGTGAGTGAGAAATAGCCACTTTATGTTATAAAACCTATTTGTTCCCAATTTGGCACATTTCCCACTGTAGTAATTTCTCAGGCTCTTTTCTCTCCCTTCTCTCTCCATATACCTCGCCCCCCCCCCACACACAACATGCACATCCAAGAAAGGGATCATATGCTCAGGAAAATTCAAGTGTATATATTTTCTAAAATAAAAGGTAAGAGTGTAATGCCCCTTCCCCAACATAAACCAAAACAATTGTCTGATAAATTTTAACAGAATGTGAGAGACAGTAAGAAAGAACACTTGGTAACCTGTGCAGGTTAGGATGGAGACCACGTTGTCTGCTAGAAAAGGAATAATTGGTTGTCTGGATGTCTCACAAATGAAAACAGGAAAATAGACTTGGTGCATAGTTTATAACAACTCTTTATAAATGTCAGCCTTTTCAAAGGTCATCTATAAATGACAATGGCATTATCTTTAGTTTACAGACAAATCAAAACCAGAACAATCCCAAATGTTCATACCTTAAAAACAGCATGATTTACAAATATACTGTATCTCCCACAACACACTAAACAATGAGAGATCTTTTAAAAAGCTGATGTCTCCACAGGTTTAATTCAAAGTTACTGTCAAAAATTTCTAAAATGCTACACACTGTTGCTTGTATTGCAGCAGTAACAGTTACAGTTGGCTAACAGTTGCAAGGTTGATGCCAGCCCTTCAAGGTAGATCAGACAAGGAAAACAAAGTCATCAGAGCTAATACTACTTTTATTATAAGCTTACAATAACAGAACCTTGAAAGTCTGAATGTGCCTCCCTCCTCTTTATCTTCAAAGAAAAGAGGTCATGTCTGAAGCTTTCTCAAATTATATTTCTGCCCAAGCCTAGTATTACTGTACTTTTATCTGACACTGGTCTTTCTTCTGTTCCCCAAGGTTACTTTTACAGATCCCAAATCTCCTAGAAATTTGTCCTTACTTTCTGATGGAGGCTTTCTGGTTTCTTGGGCTTATTGTGAGTTGGTCTCTGAGGAAGCAATATGACTTTTAGAGCATGGACTATAAGTCCTGTATGTGGGACATTCACAACTAGAGCACATAGTGGATATAACCAAACAGTGGAACAAGGAAAAGGAAGATAAAGGTCAGGCTGTACCTGCTGCTAATCAGATTTTTTAAAAGGCATTTTTTAAAATGGCTGGCATGAGGTACAAAGAGCAAGCTATCATAAGGGGACCAGGGCCTAATGGAAAACCCTTGCCAAACTTTGCTCCAACTAAACAGCTCTGCAGTGAACAGGAACAGGCCTATTGTATCAGAAAAATGAGATTGCACTGCATTTCTTCCCAAAGGCTCTTTTGCACATCTCCTGTTAGTCACAGCTGTTACTCTGCCAATTTTTTTTTTTAAAGTAGGGAGGAGGGAAAAAAGATCCACCCGAAACTTGGCCCTGCTTTTGAATCCATTGGCAATGGAATTGAAATTAAATCTTGCACCAATTTACATTATGGGATTCTAACTGAACTTTTCATATCTTTCGTTTCAGATTTGCCTTTGATGAATGTTTAAAACAAAAAAGAAGGCAAGCTCCTTCAAATGTGAACTCCTGCCAATAAAACATAAGGTAACATTTCATTTGCCACCTTCACTTCTTCTCCTCATATGATTCTTTAATAATATCCATTTTTGGGAACAGTGAAATATTGAGACTAGCAATATGTTAAGGTTTCCTTCCATTTTAAGCAATCACTACAGTGACTCTCTGATTTGGATTAAATGTACAACATCAGGTAATGTGGTCATCCCACTGCAGAATTCATTGTACAATTTCTAGCTTGCACTATAAGCATATTATTTAATCTGGTCCACTCTGGTCTTTTTCTTATTTGAAAGAATGGAGCACTGTTCACCTGTTGTGACTTTAGGTTAATAATATGACCAGCCTTGAAAATAGGTTTCAGATGAAATTCATTCCAAATGCTTAAGTCTTCAATTTGGTCAAACCTTGCTCCCTCTTGCAAAGGTTTCCACCTAAATGTTAAATTGCCGTTCCTAAATTAAGTGTTTCTGTTTATTATAGGGGAAATAGGTCAGTTTACCATTTTTCAAACAGAAGGAAAAAAACCCAAAGTTCCAAGATATTCTTTATTGAATTTTCAGTCTCTTGCATTAGGATATAGAAAAGCTAGACAGGGCTATTCAGTAATAGGGGAGAGTGACAAATACCACCCCATCAAATTAGGAGATTATTTGCAGTCATTTCACAGAATCAGTCATTTTGAAAAAAAAAATATTTTCAGTCATTTAAAATGATTGGTTACTTTAAAAAAATTGATTTTGTATCATGCCACTGAAAATCAAATATGAGTGACAGTACTCGATTTAAAAAAAAATGTTTTCTGAGGTAGTATTCTTACAAAAATATAACTAGGATTGTCTCAGATTGGTTTTTGAAACCTTTCTGTGTTGGGCTCCCTCTGATAAAAATGATTCTTCTCTTACAGCAGGGACTAATTCATATTTTAGAGATATTCTCCTCAAAGTCTTCCTTGACTTACAGTTGTAGCCATTCATTTTTTAAAAATAGTATCTTTCCAAATCCATTGTACAGCTTGAGAGAGAACAGGGGAACCCACAAAACTACAGTAATCATTTCCTAAATAGAGATTTTTCACATTTTGGCCCTCTCAGTTGGTGATTCACTGTTTACTCCATCCATATGCTTCAATATGTTTGACAAGTTTGATAATGCTAGATCAGGAAAACAAGCAGAGTTTAATGTTTTCAATTTTTTGAGAAAAAATTCTAAAATAAAGAATGTTAACATCTCTGCCCAAAATGTAAGTTTGTTTGTTCAACATATTTACAGTGGTAATATAATCTTGTTGCATTCTGGAATCAGTTGCAATTTATGAGCCCAGCCAGATGGGGAAAGCTGGCTATACTCTCAGTTTTCCATTCATGCTTGATGTTTAATGTGTGCACTTTGAAAAAGTCCAAAGTCATATTTGAATTTGGACGGGTGGGAAGCGTGCTTTGTCAAGACTGATGCTTCTTTTTTTGGTTCCTATTCTTTCCTGTGCTCTGATTTGCTTATGGCCTGAATGTTTTGTTTGAAAACCAAAGATCTATTGCCGCCAGTGGAAGTTGCAGTTATGTGAGGGCAGGTGGCAGAAGTGAGATCAATGGTGGTGTCACCTATTTGGGATGGGGGGAACTTGCAGCTGTCCAGGAACAATCACCTCTTGGCTACTATCCGATGGATGCCTGGAAGAGTTGAGAGGAGAGGGAAGGGAAGGGGAATTTTTAAAAATTCAATTTGTAACAGAGCTCACTTTATACATATTTGGTTTTAATTATATTAAAGATTTGCCACAATAGAGGTAGAGGTCATTATACACCACTGCTTTGATCAGGTTGTGGATCATTACCTTTGTTATTACTGGAAGCTAGGAAGATTATGAAGAATGAAAGGATAAACTACCACAACCTAGAGTTTGCCAATGTCAGGGCCCCAAAACTTAAAAAAAAAGACAGGTGGCGATTCTTCCAAACAGATTTCTTTATTGTTCCACATCTACAGACATAATCTTGCAAAACTGATTGTATTTGAGGCAGTAGATGGTGTACTGTCCCACAATCTATCTATATTTGTAAAATATGCTCCCTTTCTTTGTCTATTTTAATTTGGTCTCTGACCGCAATAAAGCTTACTTACTTATTTACTTACTTAAAACTGAAGCACTCTACTATCTACATCAAGCATATACTCTGAGAGCTGTTAGGGAGGGGGTGTCTTCACCCTCCTTCTCTCATACAAAATATCTGAATTGAACTCCCTCTTATTCATCTGGAATGCATCCAGACTATTACATTCCATCTCATTGGAATGACTTGGATTAAATCAGCCCTCACTAACACAATTATCAGCTGTGAATGGTGAGAAATGTTGCCCAATATACCTAATGGGAGCCCAGAGGGGAAAAATGTATAGGAAGATTGCATAACTGTAATAGACACTGAATTAATTCTCCTCATCCTGATGCAGAAGGTCCAGGCACTGCCCTTTGGACCTCCCCCTTACTCTAAACCATTAGGTTGAAAGAAAGTGACTGCCTTATCCAAAGGGTCATGGGGCAAAATAGTTAGACCTCCTCTGCTTAAATCCAATGTGCTAATTAGCATTCCATGCTACACCTTTGTTCAAAAAAATCCAAAGGGCTTTAACTTATTATGTGGTTGAAGAACACTCTTGAAGTAGCTTACAAGCAATTCATCTTGCTCCAATACTACCGTAGTCCTTGACTTACCACCATTCATGAAACAATCATTCAAAATTGCAACAGCACTGACAAAAGGGACTTATGACTGGCTCCCCATCACTGCTGCAGCATCTCCATGGTCACATGATAAAAATTTGGGCTCTTGACAACTGGCATATATTTATAAGGGTTGCAATGTTCTGGGGTCACATGATTGCCATTTACAATCTTCCCAGGGGCATTTCCAACAAGTCAAGGGAGGGGGGAAGACAAATTTGCTTAATATGATTTGTTCAATAATTGTGCCAAAAAGGTCATAAAATTGGACATGACTCACTTAATGACCTCATTGTTTAGTGACAGAAGTTATGGTTCTAACTGTGGTCATAAATTATAGACCACCTGTATAGCATAAATATTAATTTTATTTAAAAGATTTGTATAGCCATCCATTTTATGTAACATAAACCTGGCAACTCAGAAAGAATAATTTTTTAAAAAAGGGTAAAAAACATAAAAGGTACCAAAAAAAAAAAAAAACCCCTTCCTGGCACCCAAAATACAACAAATTCTCACAAATCCAAATAGACTTTTGAGTTTCCTGTATTATCTCATTTTTTCTTTCATCCTAGCATTTTCCCAGAAGTGCAGACTCCACTTATTTGGATCAACTGAGTGTTGTGATAGCAGTTGACCAACTGGTTTGTTGTCCAAGTTTATTGTCACATGCGGAGAGAGTGACTGACCCAAGAAGACACCAAGCCAACTTTCATGACTAAGGTGGGACTAGAACTCACAGTCTCCTAGTTTCTAGTTGATGCCTTAACTGCTGAACTGGATCTTATATCATCATCATCATCATCATCATCATCATCATCATCATCATCATCATTATCCATCCCAATTATTTAGAGAAAAAATTGCTCCATCCAAAGGAACAACAAATGAGAAAGTTACAGCCTATCCTAGGCTATGCTTAGCTATGCATTATTTTTTTCTTGCCTTAAATGCCTGAAAATGCCTGAATTGAATAGCAACACTGCACTATAGATTCAAAAGCGAGGTTAGGGCTATGGTGCAAAATATAGTTGATTTATTTATTTGTTCAACTTGTATGCCGCCTTTCTCCGAAGACTCAAGATTGAGACTGGGGTAGGCTATAAGCGGAAATTAGATTCCCCTAATGATCAAGTTCCTTTTTCAACTTTTATAAATATTTTCCAGACAACCAGAATGGTATAAAAATACAGGGCACTGACTATTGTACATACAATATACAACTCACTTGGTTGATAAGTCTATGGTACCGAGCTTCAGAATTTGGCAAAATGTCTGTCTGTGCACCACTCACCTCCCAAATTTTGGAAAAAGAAAACAGCTAAGTAACTTGGTTGAAGAAAAAATAGGTCAACTTGGAATTCTGTATATATTCCTCTGCCATTTCTGCTGGTATCCATCCATTTCACTTTTGATACAGTTTGGAGAGTGGCAGACATGGGTTTTACATAATTTTACCACTGGTTCGCCATGCACTGAAAATGTGCGAACCAAAATGTCCTCCCATCTCCTATTTTAGTGTTTCATTCACAAGTGATATTTTGGTGATGTTGGAAATGGTAATCTGAGATGAAGGATTTGAAAGAATGAATGCCATTATATTTTCTGATTAATCCCCTAGCATTGATACTAAACAATGCTCTTTTGGAGGCTGGCAGCCATTTTAATTTCCCAGAAGTAGCTGTGGGAATCATTTCTAATCCACAACTGTGGGGTACAAATCATGCTGAGCTGAAACATAGCTAAATACATTATGGCTTAGCACAATGAATGGAGTCAGAGATTGTACTCATTTGCTGCCAAAGTTAATGTCAGGTCAAGCAGACCAAGAAAACAGGAAAAATGAGATGGCTATGTGATGGAAGCAGGTTATAACCACAAAGATGACACAAAGGTGGGTATATTGTACAACAGCTTTTTTCAAACATTAATAATGCCCAGTATTAAGTCATACTTATTTGTGAACTTCACTACAATTGCTTTCCTTTTGCCTTTCAATAGTTGCTTTATCCTTAGTTACAGAAGCCAAGCCCCCAATCTACTAACACAGTGTCAGAGGAAGTGAGTGTAAATTGGTCCACGGACTGGACATTAAAGCAAGCAGTGATATCACTCTTAAAATATAAGAAGTCTTTAGCATAATATACTCTAATAGCTAGATAATTGCGGCAAGGAAAGAAGGGGTTTCTTTGTAAAACAGTCTTGCTGAAAGCTATAAGTGAGTGTGCATGACATCATGGCCTATCTACAAGGCATACGTTATCCTCTGAGCCTTGCCAAAAATGTTTCAGTCAGAATAAACCAATCCCCAGATAACTTAGTGGGGGATCAGGAAAGAAGAGTTAATGGGATGATTGATATACAGCTGGAAAGAATTAGAAAGTTTCTGAAAAGTGACAAGCTGACATTATTTGAAAACTTTAAAAAGCCCTGCATCCCATCTTTATATTTTTTTTAAAAGAAATCTTAGGTCAGATGGGTTTCAATGCCTGGAGCTGTCAGATGTTATGTGAGGCTCTAGATTTTTACAGCTGTGGTCATGAAAAAAACCACCCATTTTGAAAAGCCATCTCAAGGGCATAACATAGCGGACAGTGCAATCCATCAACCACCCAAAATGTTGTGCAACAGTGCTTAGGCTAAAGGTCTCCTTTTTCCAATCTTTCAGTACTTCAGAAGACTGGCATGTCTCTCACTTCATGCAGAATGAAGTGAGCCACACAGAGTTTTGGGTGCATCTTTATATGCATCCAAAACTCTGTGTGGCTCACTTCATTCTGCATGAAGTGAGAGACATGCGAGATATATATATATATATATATATATATATCTCAGATTGTAAGAGGCAACTAAGCACAAATAATTTGATTGAGAAATGCAAAGGAACACATCCTAAAACAGAAGTAGGCAGGAACATGGCAGCTGTTGATACGTCTCTTAAGACCTTAGACTTCCTACCTTAACCCTAACCCTAACCCTTACAAATTTATTTTATTAGAATTCTTCTAAATGGGAAGTTGGCAATGCAAAACACCAACCTATAATATTATATTTCTCTTTAATATATCTTTGAAGTATCTGTTTAAGTTAGGAAGGAAATAAACAACCTTTACGGATTCCATTTAATCTCTCACTCATGCTTGTTGGAACTATGGGGGAGTATAGTACAATTTGCAGAGAAAGAAGGAATTGGCAAAAATCATATTCTACTTCTTCTCTGTTAGTGCTTCTGGACAGAACTCCCCCAAACGATTTTTCCCTTGGAGAAAAAGAACATGGATCAAATCACCACTTTTAAAATAAATACTTGTAGAATGAATGAATGAATGAATGAATGAATGAATGAATGAATAAAAATACATACATACATGCATACATATATACATGAATATAACAGTTATATTCAAGGACCTTTCCTGATGACCAGATTTTCCATCTGCCAAGCCTTCTCATCCATCCAAGATAAATCTAACAAGGTTTGATTATTTCCTGAGTCCTTCAAATACTAAGAGGATGGGAGCATAAGCATGTTTATATGTTTTTAGGAGTATAGCTGTCAGAGAACCATCAACCAATAAGTTTCTGCTCTTTCTGGTCAATAGTTGAGCACCGAGAATGGCAAGTCAATTAGCACTCGCTTGCAGTGCTTTCAAGCTGTTCAACAGCTAAGTGCCTTTTCCCACCCATCAGGTTTCCTTGTGTGTTAAAATAACCCTTCCCTTCAAAATAGAAAACAAATCACTAGTGTTTCCCCACTCCTACACTCCATATTTTTCTGTGCATATATTTGTGTACATCTGTCCCTTGTTTTGCAACAAATTTCTTGACGTAGTTTGAAGTGAAGTTGAGCAAGAACGGAGGGATTGCAACAAAATACAGACAATGGGACTGAAATCACTCAAAATCGTCTTACTCACTGTGGCAGCTAATCTTTGTTATTTTCCAAATTTCTAGGCAATTCTGTGTTTGAGCTTGATGCTATGATAGGGTTCCAGGAACAAGAGATTGAGCTGAACTAAGAATCAAAGAAAAGCACAGTTTCCTGTCAAATATTTCTGAAGCAGGGTTTGCTGGCTGGAAATGGTATTTCCCCTGGCCAGAAATACCACTGTTATATCTGAATTGTGCATAATTGCAAGGATTATAACATGCAGTTGGGAGACCTCACTATCATATGTATTAATCTTTGCAATTTGGGATGGCGTGGCATTTTGGAGGAAATCAATTTACGACAAAGTATGCATGAAGTCATTTTCCTTTTCTTTTGGGAATGGTTCCTTTTCTGTTGCTGCTCCTGCTCTCTGGAACAACATTGCCACCAATGTCTGCCTGAATCTGTTCATGTTGTTCTCCTGGAAGGATGGAACAAACTAGCTTTCCACAGATCCTGGCTGGGATGTGGGATGAAATTGAATGTTACAGGTTTTTTTTTTTTTTAAAAATACATTATGTATTTGCCAGGTTGTATTTCAAACTTTTCTTGCATACAAAAAAGAGAAATAGGTGTGTGTCAAAAGTATCAAGATGAGAGCAGTGGGATCAAAATCCTGACCTCCCTTTATGTGCATCAACCATGTAACCTTTAAGGGGGATGTAAAAAAGCCAGCACTTTTATCCCACAATCTCAGCTGCTATCTTAGCTTGTGGATGCATCCAGACCTGTATCAAATACCTTGAGTATTTGATGATTAGGTAGCACTACAAATCTAACAAGTCTAAATGTATGAAATCCACAGAAGTCTTCTAAGTTGTGGGGCAACCAGGGAAGAGTTAGGTATTGTCGCCCTGGATATTTTTGTGGATGAGCAAACAAATAGCAATTTGTTATTTTATGCATTTTTTTAAAAAAATAATTTTATTAAATATACAACTTAAAAACATTAGACTTAGTGCGACTTGTCTGGTTCTAGCATTTTTTCTTTCGTGTATATTACAATATAATATCATGCATATTCCATATGTACTTTTTGTACATTCAATCACACTTCAATGACATACATATTCCCTTCGTGCCTATTCAAATCCAATTTATTCCTATCTAATATTTTATGGTATCTGAAAAAAGTAAACCCCAAATCTTACTTTGACATAATAAATAAATAAATAAATAAATAAAATATTATTTTTTTAAAAAAAATATTTCAGAATAAAACCTAATCCTGATGTCAATAAAATACAGCATGTCTCATTTCCCTCACTTTTAGCTCTTTAAACCTTGTATCTTTGGTGTACATCAATCAAATGAAGTTTTCAAGTTTTGAACAAGAGATACCCAATTTCCCAATTTTTATTATACAGGTAGTCCTCAACCTATGACCACAATTGAGCCCAATGTTTATGCTGCTAAGTGAAAAATTCGTTAAGTGAGTTTTGGCCCATTTTACAACTTTTCTTGTCATATTTGTCATTGCTGTTGTTAAATTATAGTAACGGTTGTTAAATGAATCTGGTTTTCTCTACTGATTTTGCTTGTCGGAAGATTGTCAAAGGGGATCACATGACTCCAGGACATGGCAACAGTCATAAATGTGAGTCAGTTGCCAAGCATCCAAATGTAAATCATGTGACCATGGGATGCTGCAACAATCATAAGTGTGAAAAATGATCATACGTCACTTTTTGCAGTGGCGTTGTAACTTAGAACAGTCACTAGACAAACTGTTGTAAGTTGAGAACTACCTGTATTCATCTTGGGTGTAAACTTTGTTTTCAGTACATCCAAA